GAATATCCGCTGTCGAATTTTACTGAGTTGTAAATTAGAATTGAGACTCCTCTTTATGTCCATGTCTGAATGAACTAAACCATGTATTGGTGTAGCCAAAGCCCCTAAGCTTTTCATGTTCCTGTTTAGACAGGTGTGTTTCCCTTTATATAGATTATCTGTGCTTTTTCTTTGCACGTTTTAGTTAAAAATGTTTGCGTTTTATAGGATTGTTCATACCATTCATATTCAATAAAACCAAGGGCGTAGGTTTGATTTGAACTTTGGTGGGGACACTATTGGTCTGGTGTCATTGGTGCTGCAATATGCGTGCCCTTTTTTATGCTCGATGTGAGCATCCGTACTGATAAGGCGAATTCATTGTTAAAAGAGAAAAGCATAATTTTGCTACATTAATAAAAATTTTATAAGCACTACACTCATTAGATGCTGTTTATCAATGTTTGAAGTATCACAGGCTCTGATGAATGTGGAATTAGGACTGTTTTCCACTTTGTAAATGGTTTCATTTGCATGACTAATAGAGAAGGTAAATACAGTATTTTCTTTTGAAGATATACAATAGTGCAGAGTTAAACCCCACTCTTATATTTTAACTACTATGCTCTCTCTGTATCAAGCAAAATAATACATTCATTAAAATATTAACTTCACTATAAAAGTTGAACATCTGGGCTGTAGTTACTCTGTATAGCCCATTTCATGTATTTTATCTAGGGCTGAAAAAATTAATCGTATTAATTGATTATTTCAATAATCATCAACTAATTTAGTATGTGATTAATCATTAACTGGAGAATAGAGACTATAAAACATAATATAAATGTAAAATGTCCCTTTCCCCTAAAGAGCAATCCACTTAGATCAGTAATTATACCAAAATTGTAAAAATACAATATATATATATATATACATATATATATACATATATATAATATATAAGATTAAAAAAAATGTTTTGTCTGTCAATATTCTCCATCCATGTGGAAATATTTTAGTATCACCTGGTTTATTTAGACATCACCTGAAGCACTGAAGGGCCAGCTGCTTCACCTACAAGCTGCCCTGCATCATTATTACTGGATATCTGTGTTTCCTATAATCATATAATGTATAACTGTGTTTTTAATAGTAAAGGATTAAATGTAACACAAGCTTTTATCATTGTCCTATATTGCTTACTGTCTGACTGTTTAAATAGCTCCTTACTGTATGTCTATTTTCTTTTTTAGTGGCATCATCTACAAACACAACACTAAGAATGAGCCGAAGTGTATTCAAATATAAAATAATTTTTAACAATTATAAAAGACAATATAACACTATCTTATCTGTAATTTAACATTATCCAAAATAAACAGCCAGATTCAAGCATTTTTACCAGACATTAATGTTTGTTCTAATTTACTTATAGACTGTGTGGAAATCTATGTAAGATAAAATCAATGTTTATATTCTTCCTTTTTTGTTCTTGTCTTTATCCTATTTCTAGAAGTATAAATAGCCAATAAAATAGAACTATTATTATGTGGAACCCTAATTATGCTTTTTAAACGAAAAACAGCAGATGTTTAAGCCCCATTTCTTGTTGTTATACTCTATAAGAGAAATAACACCTGCTAATAATTATACCTGAACTTTCTCAAAGAGTCATAAAAAATGAAACCAGTAATAGCAACTAAATATCGGTAAAAAGGAAACACTCACTTTTTCTTTTTTAGTTGGCTGTGGATAAGAATTAGAAATGTTGATGGCTTACAGCCTTTATTTGCCCATTTTGTGTCTTCAGAACTCCTGGCTGACTCAGAATATTTCGCTTTATAAAAGAAAAAAAAGGTTTTTGTTTTTTAGTGTACATGATATTCATTTTTTTTAATTGGGACTAGTTTTGTAGCCTAATATTTATTGTAGTAACCGCAGCATTCTAGTGTGAATCAATTTTCAATTTTGTGCTCCAAGCACACCAGGACTAGAAAACAGCCAATCAGAGAGAGAGAAGGCGGAACCTAAGGCAGAACAACCAATGAGAGTGGAGTTAAACAGCGCATCACAGTTCCATGCGCTGCTGCTTGAAAGGGACAGGAGAGACCAGGCAGAGGAGCTGCGAGAGGAAAAGAAGCCACTGCTGCAACAACTACTGCTGTAAATTATAAACATGTTGCTCACATCCAATTATTGGTAGGGACAATTAGGTCGGTTCAAAACTTTGGTAGGGACATGTCCCTGTGGTCCCTATGCAAACCTACGCCCATGAATAAATCAATCTTGATGTCATGAACCATTAATTAGATTAGAAAAGACACCATGTGACATCAAAAAAGGAAACCTCAACAAATAACTGAACAAGTTATTAGAACCTATCATATCATTCATAGCTCTATTTCTTTCTAATGTCTCAAGCAGCTCATCTTTCATTTCCAAGCAGGTCAGCTATTCAGGTCTGTGCATCAGTGATGTTTCCCTTCTGGTTCGGCAGCTTGCGCCTAATTTCTTCCCTGAATCTGCTACGATCTTCTGTCATTGTAGCCTTTACGTCTTCTTTGAGTTCTTCTACACTCACTGGCCACTTTATTAGGTACCCCATGCTAGTAACAGGTTGGAACCCCTTTTGCCTTCAGAACTGCCTCAATTCTTTGTGGCATAGATTCAACAAGGTGCTGGAAGCATTCCAGCATGATGGCATCACACAGTTGCCGCAGATTTGTCGGCTGCACATCCATGATGCGAATCTCCCGTTCCACCACATCCCAAAGATGCTCTATTGGATTGAGATCTGGTGACTGTGGAGGCCATTTGAGTACAGTGAACTCATTGTCATGTTCAAGAAACCAGTCTGAGATGATTCCAGCTTTAAGACATGGCGCATTATCCTGCTGAAAGTAGCCATCAGAAGTTGGGTAATTGTGGTCATAAAGGGATGGACATGGTCAGCAACAATACTCAGGTAGGCTGTGGCATTGCAACGATGCTCAATTGGTACCAAGGGGCCCAAAGAGTGCCAAGAAAATATTCCCCACACCATGACACCACCACCACCAGCCTTAACTGTTGATACAAGGCAGGATGGATCCATGCTTTCATGTTGTAGACGCCAAATTCTGACCCTACCATCCGAATGTCGCAGCAGAAATCGAGACTCATCAGACCAGGCAATGTTTTTCCAATCTTCTATTGTCCAATTTCGATGAGCTTGTGCAAATTGTAGCCTCAGTTTCCTGTTCTTAGCTGAAAGGAGTGGTACCCGGTGTGGTCTTCTGCTGCTGTAGCCCATCTGCCTCAAAGTTCGACGTACTCCGCGTTCAGAGATGCTCTTCTGCCCACCTTGGTTGTAACGGGTGGTTATTTGAGTCACTGTTGCCCTTCTATCAGCTCGAACCATTCTGGCCCTTCTCCTCTGACCTCTGGCATCAACAAGGCATTTCCGCCCACAGAACTGCCGCTCACTGGATGTTTTTTCTTTTTCGCACCATTCTCTGTAAACCCTAGAGATGGTTGTGCGTGAAAATCCCAGTAGATCAGCAGTTTCTGAAATACTCAGACCAGCCCTTCTGGCACCAACAATCATGCCATGTTCAAAGTCACTCAAATCACCTTTCTTCCCCATACTGATGCTCGGTTTGAACTGCAGGAGATTGTCTTGACCATGTCTACATGCCTAAATGCACTGAGTTGCCGCCATGTGATTGGCTGCATAGAAATTAAGTGTTAACGAGCAGTTGGACAGGTGTACCTAATAAAGTGAGTGTATATCGTGCTTCATTTCGTTTTAAATTCTCTTAAGGCTTTCGAAAGTGTCTTGATACTCTCCAGAGTGTATTGTTGTGAGTCGATGCCAGCTTTCTTCGAGGTAGCATTAGCATCATCTTCACTAGCATCTCCCGACTGGTCACCATAATCTTGTGCTTTAGAGGTTTTCTTTTTGGACTTGTTAGTTTTTGGCATCTTCCCCCTCTAAGTGGTTTTGCCTATGGTTCTGATATTTACTGAGTTAAGAGAGGAGGGGGGAGTTTTAATTACCAACACAGAGGAGCCTGTTTTTATGAGGCAATCTTGTTGCAGCTTTGACCCGGAAGTCCTACATGTAACTTTTTAGGTGTTTATTCTCTTGCTTCTCTTTGGCAAACCTTTGCCATCGTGTGTACCTTGCTTGGCTGCTCTGGTTTATGTTATTCTCAATCAGACTTTATTCTGTCTTGTATCATGTTCTCTGGATAGTAAATCTAATTATCATCTCTCTCTATCCTTCTCCCCTTTTTATGCACAAGTTGGGAAGGATTTATTTTTACTCGTCTCTTGTAGGGGGGGAATTTTCATACATTTACAATAAATAATTCCTGGATTTACTATAAACTGATTCCTGCCACATTTGTGATATTGACTTAATGCAGCTGAGCGCTCGGAGCATTTGAGAATCCACTTATGCCATGCAGCGCGTCACATCCATTAATAATCTCTAGGAGTGATGCCGAACCTGTGTGTTTACCTCGCTCATCTGTTGCTGTTGCGTGAGCTCACATCAGCAACAGATGACATATTAAAATTTATTGAAAAGTGATGACATTGTAAAGCCATTAATTGTGAGTAGTGTGTGCATGTGAGTGTTTGCGTCCTTTTCAAGGGCATAGCAGCACATATATCCATAATGAACCAGGAATGTAGGATGCCTGGGGCTACAGCAAAGACTGTGGAAAAAAAGGCACTGACTGCTGTTCCATAAAACATTTCGGAAAGGCTGTTAAAATTACTTGAATCAGTGAGATTATAGCTCATGGTAATGTTGCATTCTGAAGGGAAGTGCAGCAACAGAGGTGATAAAACGATGCTTTAACCTTCCTGATCTGCTCAATTTGTGTCAAAGCCTTGTGTCATCCTGGAAGAAAGTTGAATCATTCCCAGGCGGCAATGATCATAGCACATACAATCTGATAGAGTAGTATTAATATGAATAAAATCACACAAACTCCAGATACATTTTAATCAGATGGCAAAATGAAACTCACCTCTCTACGCATAGCACAATGAACAGTGATGATGACAAAACCTTGGACAGAGTCAAACACAGCAAAGAGGACCTGTAAGAAAAAAATAGAGCAGTTAGTTGCAGTTAGTTAAAATTTCAAATTTTGACTCAGTGATTAGCTTGGGCAAGTTTATCAGACACCATCTTGCAACAAAGTGTTGTCCTCATCTCTTTTGCAGAATTTATCAGCGCATTCTGCTGTTAACTGAAAGTTTGGTGTTTTATGCCCACCCAGGGATGTTTGCCTTTAAGGCTTAACAAGGCACTGGTATCAAACTATTCCACTCGCCTTTGAAGTAATCCATTTTAAGTGCTGCATTGTAAGACTCTTCTCAACATTATATGGTTTAAAGATTTGTAGAAATATGCTGGTAAAAATTCTCAGTCATCTAGTTCATAGTCATTCCAAAAAAGTAAAAAAAAAACAATCCGCTGGCCTTTGTTTCCAAGTTTGAAGATGTTTTGCTCCCCATCCAGGAAACCTTTTCAATTAGAAATGTCTGGAATTGTTTACTGCACAGTGTAGGGCCAGCTTAAGAGCGCTATTATCCGTTCATGGGTACAATAACTTCAGGCCATTCTTCTAAACCTGTTCATATTTTTACCAAAGTGTTTTTATGACTTTTAAACTGTTCAGTTGTCTGAATAATTGGTATGCCTTAAATATATTAAGCTTTGTTTAAGTTTGAAGCCACATAATCTATAAATACCAATACCCATCAATGCAAATATAAGTGCGATCATATTAAGATTTGCATTTGTCGTTATTTAACAGTTTTTACCAATAAGGAATCTTCAGTCTACTTAGGTTTCTTGTATCTTTTTTGTATCAGAACGATTTAATTTAGAATTGTTTTCACAATATGGAAATAATGTTTTTTGAATTTCCTGCAACTTTTCTAAAGTATACCAAAGGTTAATAAAAAAAAAAAATGTTAACTCATAATGTGTCAAGTCTGTACCTCTTTCAAAGATAGTTTTTCATCATGCTGATGTGTGTGTGTGTGTGTGTGTGTGTGGGGGGGGGGGGATGGGGGGGAGTGTCTGTGTGACTGACAGTAAATAATCATGTTCTTGCTGTTGTGACACACATCACCTGGAAGAGTGTGGAGCGTCGATCAGTTATGGCCAGCACGGCCGACATCCAGGTCAGCGCTAACAGAGGGAGAACCACACAGGAGCTCCACAGGGACGCCCTGTCAGACAGGAAGGAAGGTATGGGTATGGGAGGGGGCAGAAGGAATGAGGAATTATTCAGACTCAAATCAAACAGGGCATCGCTGTTTAGTCCTAACATAGAAACACACAGAGATCAACCACACATTCTTTGGTGGGCAATTTAAAGCAGACAACCACACTATCATTTGGATCACACTTAATATTCTAACTGATGAGTGGAATACAATGTGTAATCATGTCTGAGGTTCTGACTCAACCAAGACTCACAATTACATGGTTTATGGACTTTGATTGCCACAATGGTAGGCTATGAGACAACACAGGCTCAACAGGCAACAGAAGACAGAACAAGACAAAAAAAAAAATGACGGAAAAAAATCATGCAAGCAAACAGTTACAGACTCATACTTTAAATTTGTGAGGTATCAATGGACAGGTCTATAAAAATGTAACCATCTAAGACATGTACAGTACAAAAAATAGATATAGTTTAAATTACAGGTGTCTGATAAATTAATTTTAAACAAGGCTACAACAATGTTAATTAGACCACATATTTATAACATTTTAAATAACACACAATTACAAAGAAATTAGAAACAAAAAAAGTCATTCATTTTTTAATTAAGAAAACAATTCTGGTTGTTAATGATGACTGATCGCCAACATCACTATTAAAATAATAATAGAACTTTATTGATCTCAAATTTGAGAAATTTATCTCTGCATTTTCACCCATCACCATGGGGAGCAGTGGGCTGCCATTGTATGGCCCCCGGGCAGCAATCAGGGGTTAAAGGTCTTGCTCATGAACCCAGAGTGGAGGTAGTGGGATTCTAACCGGGTACTTGCAACCTTCTCAGAGGACAAGCTTACTGCTCTGACCCACTAGGCCACACTCCCCCAACCACGGTTGATATTGATAACCATGGTTGATATTGATAACTGTCTTTTACTACCAACTTTTATCATCAGATGAACATCATGATTGACAAAGCAACCTTTTTAAAACCATTGTAAGCCTTCGAAAAAAATCTGACATTAGCAGGTACAATTTTAGAAGTAATGTACTCTACCCTAAAATAATCTAGTTTTACTTATTGCTCTAAACTCCAGTGGCGATGATGAAGCATTTCAAGTTGTTTAAGGGCAGATCAGTTAACTTTAAAAATAAAGACCAGATTGATGAGATTAAAACTGAACATTGTCATTATACACATGATGTTTAAGGATACATGGAAAATTAACCTATGAACACCTAACAGACAATTAACTCTAATGTGAACTTAAGAGAATGCCTATTTTTAAGAAAATAGTTTGGGGAGATTTTGTTCAAGTTTAATGACATATTAATGTAGAAAGTTCCTCAGAGATTATTGATAAAACTCTGCAGATTGAATTAGGGCAGATATTTAAATATAGCCTTGTCTATACTGGGGACATCTAAAAAATTAGTTAATTAAAGAATAATTACAACAACTAATGAGTGGCTATTAAGACCTCTTATTAACCAACGCAAACTGGTTAAACACAATAAGGAAATTGATATTTAGTTTGTTTTTTAATCAAGAGAAGCATTTCAAAAGAAACAGTTGAAATTTTGTATACAATTTTAATAACTATGCCACCTAGATAGGTAGACTTAAAGGTTTTCAGCATAAGAAATATGCATATTAGTGCTACAGATAATTGTTTCCAACATGTCTACTTTCAAATATACATTTAAATTCAAACCATATTTTATAAGCAGTATAAGTCTACTGCATAGACTGCATAAACTAGAATACTTCAAATGATGAACCGACTCCCACATGGCTCACTGCAAGATGTGCTTCACAATTAGCATTCATGACCATATGTAACGTAACATTTTGCTTTGTTTACATCTTTGTTGATGTATTTTTGCAAAGATTCTTCTAGTAAAGGTAGTAAATCTATGGTGGTAAAAACTTTGAAAGTGCTCCTAATAACTTTTTTAATCTTATCACATAACTTTTTGAGCAAATGGTAGATTTGTATTACAATTCAGAATTAAGTGTCTCCACAGAATAGATAAAAAGCTAAATCAAATTCATTTGCACATGATAATGATGCACAAAAGAACTAACAAAGCTGTAATCCAGCGTCTAATGTGAGATTGTTTTAATCACTTTCTTTTGCTGACGTTTTCATTGAAATTTGTACACAGCTCATGTTATTTGGTTTGTTTCCTTGTTTGCTACATTTTGTAATGCAATAACAATAGAAACAAAAGCAAAATAAAAAAATACAAAAATAAAAGAGAAAATGTCACTAAAAAGAAGATGATGATTGCTTAGGGAAATGGTGAGGAGAGATATGAACTCAATGCATCTATGTTTAGTCTGTTTTTTCAATGTTTCTTTATGCAGTACACATTATCCTTCAAGTTAATATACTCTAGAGCTACAGCTATGTTTTGCCAGAAGACAGCAAACCAGGTTATTTCTTGTAAGCATAATTCAGTCGATAACACAGATCATCTAGTACTGAAGTTGATGATGTTTAGTGAAATCAGATTCATTTGGTTTTGAGCACAAAATATTTTTCAAGACATGTTTTTTTTTTTAACTATAGTTCACGTATCATTGGTTTGAGTACATACTGGCTTTATTTGATGAGAGGTTTATTTACAAAAAAAAGTTAAAGAAATTGCTTTAATGATTGTTTACATTGCAGGTGCATGCTAGTTCTTCCTAATTGTATGTAGTCTTACTGAATCCTAGTAAAAAGTAACATCAAATAATATGAAGAGAAATTTGGAAAGTATGGGTATGTCATGATATGAGGAAAGACAGTATGACCTACTCTATATGTTCCCCGTGGCAATTATTTTTAAAGTTATTAACTATTGTATATATAAATTTTTAATTTACTTTGTCTTTGTTGTCTGAGTTTAGAATTATTATGTGATTAGTTTCTTCCACAGATAATTTGAAAACTACGCTTGTATTAATTTTTTTACATGCTACATATAGTAGTACAAATGTTAAAGAAGCAGTCATTATAATGATAATAACATTACATTTTTTTTCCTTTTGTCATGAAGCTGATTAGGATAAAGTTTCTGCTTATAGTTTTATGCATTTCATGTGACTGATTCTCCTATTTATATTATATTGTACAAATAGAGTTGGGAAAGAAACTATGTGATGAAAAGAAAATTATGTAAAAGAGCATTGACATTGATTGGTCGGTAATCCCGGTTAGAACACTGATCCTTGCATTACAGTCATGTTTTAAATAACGTCACCTTGCAAAATTATTTAAATCAATTCAATTCAGTTCATTTATATAGCATCAATTCACAACACATGTCAACTCAAGGCTCTTTACAAATCCTTACAAATCCCTATGAATCTTCCACATTTGATATCCCAAAAACCCAAACATTAATGCATTTTGCCTGGATTCTATTTGATTAACCAACAGTGGCACAGAGTTATGAATTTAAATAAAGATAATGTATGATTTTTTTTTTTTTTAACATTTAATACACGGGAGGCATGCATCTTCTTTTCAGGCCCTTTAATCTGAGACTTTTAGTGTAGGGATGGTTGTGGTGGTTGGTTTTCTGGTCTATAAGATTGTATTTGTTGTATGTTATAAAGCATGCTGGATTTCCAAATGTTACTGATATCTAAAGAAAGGTTTTACCTCAAATTCTGACCCAAATTCTTTAAGGGAGAATCAATAACACATTCTTTAAAAAAGCTGGTTACTAATGTTTGACACCAAACAAAGTTAAAAAACGAAAAATTTTAAAATTAGTTTTACATGTATTTATAATATTGCTCTCTTATGCATAGTGATAACTTTTGACCTTTACTTTTCATATAATAAATTCATTTGTATTGGGAGATCAAAGCCTTGAAATAAATGTTTGATTGCGGATGACTATTGTCATAATTGGCCAAGTATGTGATTAATTATTCAACGAGTCAAAGTGAATAGATGTTTAAGAGGCATTATTATGGGGGAGTCAGCTGTAGTGCTTTTTGTGTTATTGGAAGTGTTTTGTTCTGTTTTAAGCTGTACCCTTGTTGCTTTATAAATATGTTTAAAGGAACCCTGCGAAGGATTCATAAATAATGTTTGACATAGGTCATATTTCTTAGTACCCTCGAAGGAGAGCTCACTTAGCATCAAAACATACTCTCATTAAACATCATTGACTTGTAGGGCAGGTGCTTTCCTTTTCATTAAACTGCTTTTGCTTCCCAGACAAGTCTGAAAGCTGTTCTGCATCATTACCGACAGCCAGAGATTAAAGAGTGAAGGGTGGAAGTGATGGTGGTGGTGGTGGGTGTAGAGTTGGAGCAGATCATGGAAATTAAGAGAAAAAGAAGGTAAGAATAGAAATAGACACAGAGATGAAAATGAACTAACATAGCGCTTCTGGCCGTCGAGCTGGACATAGCGGTACTCGAGATCACGCCACACTTGGAGCACTTCAGTAGCAGTCGGCTACGCGCCTCCGCTGGGACACTTTAGGACACATACATGCACACACATCACATGTGAAAGGGAAACAGGGAGGGGTGGAGGGAAGGAATATGGAAAAACAAGCAACAGGGAGGACAACAGGTGAAAGTTATGGAAAAATAAGAGGAAAATAATTAGAAAAAGGAAGAAAAAAAAGGAGAAAACGAACAAAGAGAGTGAGTGTGAAAAAAGAAAAAAAATGTGGGGGGGGGGACGAGAAAAGAACAAAAGAAAGTTAAATTAAAACCAGATCTTAAAAACGTAGCAGCAATGTAATACAGTCAGGATACAAAGACTAAATAAATTAAAGCAAGTAGAGAGAATGTGAGAGACACACACTGCATTCAGTCATGTGAATTACCACATCACAGTGACACAGACATGAAGTGCACTAGCCCTGTGGTTCAAATTTATACTCTACATGCAGGTCTGTGTATTATCTGTGCAGCGACTGAGGGTTTATGAGAGAGAAAATTGACTGTTCTAGCTGTGTACTTCCAAATGGCGAAAAGGAGGCTCACACATTTGCCTGTATTGTGGATGAACATTGTGGAGAATAGCTCTGTTCAAGCTATGCTACATTAGCACAGTATCACAGATCATTACCTTGGCATCAACAATAAATACCCCATGGCTTCATAAATATGTACATTATGCCCTTATGTATGTTTGTGATGCTTTGTGTTTATGTAAGTTTGAGATATGTGTATATATATATACTGTATATATATATATATATATATATATATATATATATATATATATGTATATATATTTTCTGACACGCTTAATCCCAAGTGGGGTCGCGAGGGGTGCTGGCGCCTATCTCCAGCTGTCTACGGGCGAGAGGCGGGGTACACCCTGGACAGGTCGCCAATAAATGGAAAGGTTGTTTGATAGCCCTGCAGTTCATGACATACACGTTCAGGAGTCATTTTGATCTGTTGATATAAATGCAAATAACCTTTCATTACACACATTTAAGCCTAAAATCCAAAACCTTTTTAAAAATAATGATTTCTCAGTAAGTTATTGTAATAATCTTAACAGAACCCTTTGCTTTATGAGGATGATAAATTAAATAAATTATTTAGATTTTTAATCAACAAGGCATTAAAGGTGTTATTTTAAAATCTGGTTTGTATTTTTTTCTGAATGTGATTTTTTTTATGTAATTATAAGTTTAAATTCAAACACTATTACACATTTCTTAGTTTTATACATACAATTGCTTGGATAAAAGTGCCCTCGAAGAAGAACCCTTCTATTTTTGCAATAATGTATGTGAACATGACAAAAACCATGAGTTTGGAGGGAGAGGTTTTGAAAACTTGCTTTTGAAAACTGAGTTAACTGTAATTTTTCAAGTTTAAAGGTTACACATATAGTTTTATTTTTTCCCTTAAATAGTGTTTTTGCACATCTGAAATAGGCAATTTTCCATGTTTTCCACAGTTGGCTCTATAGGCTCCATTAATCAGTTCATGAGAGACTATTTCAGGTGAGATTCTCTGGGTGAGCGCATCGGTGTGTAATACAGCAGGCTCTTGTTCACCTGGCTGCTTACTTTGTTTAGTATCCTATGCCATCCTATGAATTAGCGAGAGAAAAATGTTGACTATTTTTGATGATGTATCTCAAAAGACCAGCCACAAGTGTACCTTAAATCTTATCACAAACTCCACGCAACAGGAAGAAAAAAAGCTATTCTCTAGCGTGATAAAAAAAGGGCAAAATTATCATATCTTCGAATGATAAGTCACCCACAGTTAATTTAAATATCAGAGTAACTTCAATAAACAAAAGACATTAAATCTCAGCACCTGATCCTTTGTTCCTTTTTTAAATGGCATGCACAAGACTAGTGTTCTTTCAAATTATCACTACACATTGCAAACTTCTGCAAAATCTCTGCAACTTGTACTATATTCCTTTAGGGCCCTATCACACCTTGCCAATTTAGACACCATATGATTGACATCCCAGAATCTCCTAAAACACTGGCATACGCTGAACTTTATATGCATTTCTTTCAATTTTGGGCATATACATAGTGTATTTATAACGAAACCAGAGCATATGTCCAACGGCAGACAATCTTATGCATAATGCACGGCAGCGTAACGCCCATGAAATGATGCACAAGCCAGTGTCCTGAGGGGGCAACTATGTGACTGGAGGCGCCTTATGAGTAACTTACACTTAACTTATGTCAACAATCAAATAACTTACCTGTAACTTATGCCCCATGTAAGAGCATATGCCAGCATACTTGCTCCCCCGTATGTCGCCATCACATACTTCTTATGCTCATAACTTATACAAACATACCCATAACTTATCCAATGTATGCCAGGGGTTTTTCCAGATTTTTTGTATGTCAGGCAGATGCTGGTCTAAATCATCAAGGTGTGACAGGGGCTTGAAGTCACAAAATCTTGGGAAATGAAAAGGTCATTCAGAATGGGGTCTTGCTTCAACAAGAGCTCGGTTAATGGTAACTTTCTTTTTGGTTGATATTAGCCATATAGACTTGGTGGTCAGTGTTTGATTTGCTACACATTATGCTAGAGCTGGTGGCACCTGCAGAGACAACACATTCCCCCTCCCAACTCGTCACATCTTTGGTTTCTCAGAAGTGTATGGAAAGTTCCTGCGACAGCCTTCAATGAACCAGGCATGTCAGTTATTGACAAAGGGGGTATCCCTATCATGTCGGTATCTGATGTGCAGGGGACTTGACCAAGCTTACTTTTTTGACGAATTGGGAGTGAGACTGTAATGGTCTGAAAGGTACTGTACGCTTGGGCCAAACCTGCGTCAGTAATCTCAGACAATATCCAGTTTATGAAAGAAAACCAACCCCCTTTAGGTCTGGGGTCCCCTCATTGTGAACTTTAACTGGAGAGCTTAATAAAGACTGGGTGTAGGCAATGTTGGTCAATGTTGTCCTCCAGTGCCACCATCCTGCTGCTTTTACATGCATCCCTTCTTGAGCACATCTGAAACAAATGAATGGTTAATGCCAGGCTTCTGCTAAACTTACTAACATGCCCAGGAGGTACTTTGTTTCAGGTTTGTTGGAGCAGGGATGCATGCAAAAGCTGCAGGATGATGATATCTGACACTTTGTTTACCCCCAGATCTACTAAGCTTGACATTGACAAATGCAGCTAGATCACAAAACACCAGTCTTTAGTTTTTCCGACAGATTTTAAATACATTTCAAATAAAAAGAAATGAACACAAATGAAAAATGATTGCCTGAGATTTTGTATATGTGTTTCTAAAATTAAGACTTCTTTGTTCAGCACTGTGTCTCTGATTTCCTTGTCTTTTTCCTCAACTCCTATGATATTGCAATTGCTAACAAAAAATGGAAATGATATCACTATAAAGAATTCTTCATAGAATGAAGAATTTTATGGACAACCCTGAGCATCCTCTTTAGAAGGCTGTTAAACGATCTTCAATCAAAGGCCTCTTCAGATCCAGTGTAACATAAACCACAAAAGAATATCCTTCTTGCCTTCAGCTATTAACACATACAACAACCTATAGAAAAAAAAAACAGGATTTAACTTCTTCTGGGATCAACAAACTATTTTTGATGAAATGAAACAAATCCAGATGTCAAACCGGCCCCTAACCATACACAATAATGTTATTGAATGCTTTTTTCTGTTTTATCCATATAAAAGAACCATATATTGCTGCACTTACAGAAACAAGTATGTTGATGTATTTTAGTTTCAGCATTGCAGATGTGGTCAGTATGGTTGTCCACAACAAATAGTGAAATAGTACAAACCGTATCAATGTGCTGCTTGAAATAAACTGGCTGGAAATATGTTGAAGAATAAGAAGAAGCTATGAACATTTCAAAGATCAAGAAACAGCTTAACCTGTATTTGCGTTCTTATGGCATTTACAGAAATATTACCACAAAAAAAATAAGATTTTTATCTCGTTCACATCCCCTGGTAGCAAAAGCTAATCAGCCCCCCAGAGAGCTAGCCTGTACAGTTATAAACAAACTATCAATTTCAATTTGAGCAATCAATGCACATTGAGGAAAATGCAATGAGACAGAAACAAAGAAAAAAGAAGTCAATGGAATCAATAGATGTGAAAATTAAAACATGGGTTTTTATATGTGAAAGCCAATGAGATTTCTACTCAGAATTGGAAGAGATGATGAATGCCTGCTAACAAATTTGCATGCATATCACACGTGTGAATATATTATATGCATTCATGCTTTTTAGGTCTATCTATTTTATTTACTCTTGTAGATTAGATTGCCAACTGCCTGTGATTTTTTTATCTCTTCCATGCTCATCTGCTTCACCCCACTGAGAGAACTAGATGGTTACCGTTTGTGGAGGTGATGCCGAGATGCATTTCAGAGAGCAACAGCACATAACAGATGTCTCGTCATCTCCTTGCCAAATTAGATAATATTTTCTGATTTTTGTAAACGGAGGCACAGGTCTACAAGTAGACGCATATGTGGAGAGATCCTTGGAAGCGTTTGAGTTATTTGCCAGGAAAAAAATTTTCTGACAGAAGGCGAAATTTGCCTAATATGGAAAATCTGCTGTTGGTTTTAAAGCAAAAATATGTGTAAAGGAACAAGATAGGAGGTGTGCATGTGTACTATTTAAGTTAACTTACCCTGCTCGCTGCTTTTTAGATTTGTCTGAGATGCCATCACGAGACATGAGTTTGTTGAACACCACAATCCCAATCAGCATGTTTACCTGTTAGATGTAGAGAGAAGACAATAGCATATTAGCCACAGAAACTAAGGTGGTTGCTCTGTTTAATTCATGGTAAACATACCACTGTCTGGGTAAAAGACTTTTGACATATCCTAACTGGGAAAGTAAAAGCTTCCATGTAGCAGCACCATTTGCCAGGTTAAAACAGTTGTAAAAATATCGAAATAAATAGATTTATACAACAAAACACAATAAAATTAATAAATATGTCAACCAAATGTACAATACATACACAAGTTAGGACCAAATTAATGAATGAATAAATGAATAAAATAAAAGACACAAACTACAACAAAATAACAAATAAAAACGTGAATAGATGGATCGAACAGAGTGGTGGAAAAATGAAATAAATAAACAATATATGAGCAAATCATTTAAAAGCTTTTATATTTTTCACTATGGAACATATATATGTATATTAAGATCAACTTTAAAGAGCTAAATAAAGGATGGCTTTAAGGGAAAAAAAATCATCTCTTAAAAAAAAGAAAATTCATGATCTTTTCTAAATAAAAGAAAATTTCAGATGGCTATGTTCAAAAATTAACAAAACATTTTTTTATGTGTTTGAAAATGGGACACCGATCCCTTTACTTACTTGAGTATCATTATTCTTATTTGTATTTTGAAGTCATTGTCTGTATTTTTTTCTCATTTTTTTATTTGCTCAGAAAAATAGGTTCTGGCTGAGATAGAAAATAATATCCATGGTGGTACTGAACATAATAATATTAATAATAATAATACATTGTATTTGAAGCGCCTTTCCAAACACCCAAGGACTCTGTAAAACAAACATTATGAACAATAAAGTTCAAATTAGTTTTTTAGCCTTGATGTAAATAGAGGTAAAGTACCACTATTGCAGATATCAGGAGGGGGTCAGTTTAGGAGCAGAGCAGGAAAAAGCCATGGCGATGAGGTGGAATGTGGCTCAATAAGGTGGATGGGAGAAGAAGATGCAAGGATTCATAAGGGAGTGATAATCTGAGGGGGATCTGAGACATACAGGGGAGCAATATTATGGCTGACCTTAAATGTGAACAGAAGGAGTTTGAACTAAATTCTGAAGTAACAGGGAGGCAGTGAAGCTCCTGTAAGACTGGAGTGATGTGATGAAGTGAGAGGCTTTTGGTAATTCAATGAGCCACTGAATTCTAGACCAAATGAAGCTTATGGATGGATTTCTGAGGAAGGCCAAGAGGAAGAGAGTTGCATTTGCAGGGAAAGAGAGGGACGGAGACAATAAATGTTTTGTAGGTGAAACTATTATTAATGTTGGAGGTGAATGAAAAAGTGCAATGCAGGATGACACCCAGACCCTAGACCTGAGGAGAGGGAGAGAGAATTGAACTGTCAATTGAGAGACAAAAACAGTCACTCTTGGATAAAACTGATTTGGTTTCTAACATCTCTGTTTTGTTTAAATTTAGGAGGTTAGAGGTTAACCAGGCTTTTGTTACAGTAAGGCGGTAGGTCAGGGATTATGGTATGAGTAACCAAAAAATAGAGAGGGGTGTTATCCTTTTGGAAATGAAAATTCATATTTATTTTCCAAAAGATGTCACAAAGGGGCAGAAGCTAGATCATACTTGTATCAGCTCACGTAGTCAACTGATCTCTCCATAGAGCTAAAGCTTACCATGTCGCCAACCAGCAGTCTATGGACTGAACCAACTCCAACTCAGCGCTAACGTGTCCTGCCGAGACCTGAGCGCCAAAGTCTTAAATTAATTGTATCAATAAAATTCTTCTAATTTTCTTTTTCCTTCCGTGTGAGTTTTTCATATTAAAATGATAATTACTACTTAAGGGGTCACTAAAGGCAATTTGTTGCACTGGATTTTATTTAAGAAAATCAAAGCAAACATGGCCCGAGCAAATATGAGTCATAATTATCATTTCTTTTGCACACTAAGTACTCATTTCTATAAACTTTACATTTTAATAATAGTAAAAATGTTCTTCTATCATACAAATTCCAAACCTTTTTCTGATGTACTACAAAGTGATGATTGTGGTTAATTATAAGGTCTATGAGTACTTTTTGAAGCATTGTAAAAGTTTTATTGTCCTCTGCAGTTTATTTGAGGAACCATCGCTGCTTACTGAAAATTTCTCCACTCACGGCTAACAACAAGATTTGAAGCATCACATTGAGGGAGTGAGTTTTGTCATGCTGGTCATGTCTGGCACCATCTCTGTGAGTCAGCATCATCCTGCTCTGCTATTTGCTCAAGGCCAGGTTCATTAATTAGAGAAGAGTCCAGCGGGAAGGTCGCTGTGTTTCTATGCCTAAAGCCTCACTCTCATTACAGCTGTTTGTTAGAGCAGAGGCCCTAGTGACAATACCATGGGGCTGGGCGCCACGTTGCAGCTGCGATTTGGAACATGCTTCGACATTGTGATGACAGCAGTGGAGAACAACTAAAAACAACCAAGAAATAAAAATCAACTCTTCTAGTGCACAGCAAGGGTTTAACCAGAAGGGCGCTGTTTTTCATTTCTTCTTCGTAGTAAATGTTTCACACAATAAGCGCCCCCTATGGCCCAGGCCTGCTACTAGAACAACATCTTCCAAGGGCTGCAGGAGCTCCACCAACTCCTAATAAATCTCCTTCAAATCAGGATCTTCACATCACTTCTCTATGATACCTCCATGTATCTACATGTTGCCCCTGACTCAGATCTTAATAACAACATGTTAAATATGCAGGCAATACACAACTATAGATTGCAATGTATGTAGATGACATAAACTCAATATGCCCACATTTTACCCAACTGAAATAAGACACAGTTTACATAATTTATGGACTAAAGAAGAGATCTCAAAAATAAGAATACAGATTTAGCTATTGCAGCTAGAAATTAACAATCAGGCATGGAGTCTGGCTGTAGTGATGGACTCGGACTTGAACCTTCAGATGGACATCGAGTAAGTAACTAAGTCGGCCTCTATTAACTCAAGAACATCTCCAGGATTAATGGACTAATCTCCAAGCAGAACCTTGAACAACTTATCCATGAGGTTATATCTAGTATAACTGATTATTGAACCGGTGTTCACAGATCTGCCTTAAAAATTTAATTGGACAGCTGTATCTGATCCAGAGTTCTGCTGTGTGGGTCCTCATCAAAACTAAGAAATTGGAGCACATCACCCCAGTTCTAAACTCCTTACACTGGCTCCCAGTCTCCCACATAATAAATTTTAACATATTCTGTTGGCCTATATACCATTGAATGACTTAGCAACAAATTACGTTACAGACTTGTTGTCAGTATATCTACCACCCTGACCCAAGTTTTCTGGCCCAAAGTTACACTGCAGCACTAAAAATGGAGAAGCAGCTTTTAATAATAAGAAATAAAATGTATTCATGTCACATTTGAGAAATTTACCTCTGCATTTAACCCATCCCCTCTGGTTAGCAATGGGCTACCATTGTGCAGCGCCCTGGGAGTAGTGTGGGGGTTAAGGGTCTTGCTCGAGGACCCAGAGTGGAGGCTGTGGGGACCAAACGAGGTACTTGCAAACTTTTCAGAGCACTGCTCTAACCACTAGGTCAACAACCCCACTTTTTTCTTTCTCTTTATGCATTGGTAAAACGATCCAGAAATAAGTAAAAAAATTCTTAAATTAAGTGTATTTACCCTTGATCTGAGTAGGTAAATGAGATAATTTGCCAACGGAATTAGTATTTTTACTCTTAAAATAAGATAATTAGATAATATCCACTTGAAATAAAATGACACAATTTTTTTTTTCTTATTTTCAATCTAAATTGTCTTGTTCCAATGGCAAAATGTCTCTTTTATCTCCTCAATTCAATAACAAATGCACTAATTTAAGAAAAAATTACTTATATAGATTTTGATTTTTTTGCAGTGTAAAAAAAATTCGTTTTTATGCTAAGCTAATATGGGATAGACTTTAAGAATACTGTAAAACTACTGAAACCATAAATTGCTATAAATACAGATGAAATATATTTGATTATGTCATGATCTGGCCTGTTTGCTCCTCCCTAATTAATAATTCCTCTCACCTGCCCTCTTCCTTCCCTGCCTCAATTATAATTTATTCCCCTCACCTGTATCCTCTGTTTTATATTCAGTTCAGCCTGAGCATTCAGTGCCAGATCATTGCTTGTCTTTCTGTCAGTCTTTCTGTTCAGTTTTATTTGGTTCATGTCCTGGATCCTAGCAGCCAGTGGAAAGAGGGTTTTATTGTTTGTCTCGTCTCCTGATCGTCCATTGTTCCTCCCCCACAGAGTCCTCTGGGTTTTGGCTCATTATGTGGGGAGGTTCAGTTTTTATCAAAGTAAGCCTGACTCCAGGGAGGAGACCAGTTTAAAGTCCTGCTTCAAGTTCCTGTCCTGTCTCGGCCACCCTCTTCCACTGAGCCTGCCTGTCTGCACCTGATCCTGTCTGTTCCTGTGCGTGACCACCTGGTCATGCTTCTGGTCCCAGTCAGACTCTGAACCCTCCTGGGAGCCTGTGGATGCCTGGAAGTCTGGATCCTGCCTGATCTGGATTCTGCCTGTTCCGTCTGTTCTGGATCCCTCACCAGGATCGGCTTCCAGCATCACCTCTGGGACTGCAGCACTGGGGACATTCGTGGTCTGGACTGTTAAACCAGGTAAGTGACCAACACAGATAATCTTCTATCAGTTGATCGTGGTCACTTACCTGTGTTTCTCCCCTTAGAGTGTCTGAGACTGGGCGGTGCCCCGCTCCCCGCCTGCAGTGTCGGCGAGCCACAGCTCCGCTTTTGTTTTGTTTTATTTATGTAATAAACGTTTTGAACTTTCCTACTGACTGTCTCTCCTTGAATACTAGGTCCATCTGTCCGCGTTTCATGACAGATTAGTGACCTTTGATTGTGCCACATAAAGGTTATTCATTAGTTATCTTCCTTCCTTCCTTCCTTCCTTCCTTCCTTCCTTCCTTCCTTCCTTCCTTCCTTCCTT